GAGTTAGTTTTCTGATGAGTTACCGGGCTGCACCAGCTCACAGAAAGGTCAGAGAAGTGGGAAGGGGGGAAGAAGCTCATGTGCAGAAGCAGAGATGGGAGGAAAAAGGAGCCAAGCTGGGGAGGGAAGCGTGGCAGTGAGGTGTCACAGGTTGGGTCAGTTGCTTGTGGAGCTGCACCCAGATGTTGTCCTAGAGGAAGATAGGCCTTCTCCGATAAGGAGCAAAGAGCTCCTTTCTTTTAGCAAACAAAATGAAACAAAGAAACCCCCCAAACCTTGAGAAAAAACAACTAAATCTTCACAGGTATTTCACCAGAATCATTAGGTGCCTACTATTTTGCCTTTCTCAGAGCAAAAAATATCTAGCAACAACAACAAAAACAACAATTTCTAGTAGAAATGTCTCAACTTCATCAACCATACATCTTTCTAGGAACATTATTTAGAATACAGTGCCTAGCTATACATCCATTAGCCCTCTGTATGCCACGATGTATGTAGTGTATTAGTGATGTTATACTTGTAACACCAGTGCTATTTCATTAGTACTGCGCTTGCCTTTCTTAGGCTATACTGGCTCATGTGGCCGATTCCTAAAAACAGAAGGACGATGACTGCATAATACAGCTAGAGAAGTTAGTTTAAAAAAAAGTGTCAGCCTTGTTAATCTAAAGAAAGGCTGAATGAGGTCAACAGAAACCTCAGCAGGGATGCTGGCTCTGAGCACCATATAATACAGTACATTTTATCACAGGTCCTAACTAATGTCAAGTTTTTCTCCCTAAAAGTTAAAGAGAAATAGTTCAAATTCTGTGGCAGTGATCTGTTTCACTTCTCTGTAATACCCAGGATTTAACAGTATAGCTTGGACTCCACTGTTTGGATCTGCAGAGTCAATGATTGTACGAAATGCTCTTTGAGGGCAGGAAGTTTTTGGCACTTTTTTGTTTCTTCCAATACCAGATTAAAAATTGTGGAATTACCTAAGTTTGTACTAGCTCAGCATTTCTCCCAAAAGCAAGACCACTTCTTCAAGGCCTGGAGCCACTGCTAAAGCAAGTAAGCACTTAACCAGAAAAACTGAGAACTGTTGTGTAATAGTGAGAAGTTTTTAGTTTTTCAAGAGAACAGCATTGAGGAGTCCACTCAGTTATATACATTAATAAGAACTCAATAAATGATATCAGGACTATCCTCTGGACATAAACTATATATGCAGCCGGGAGGGATTTTCCATTCATTCTTAAACTGGAAGCATAGTCAGCCTCCTCAAAACCTGTTGAAATCACTGGAGAAACTTGTATTCTCCTTGGTAGCTTTTGCCTCTGTCCCACCTACAGTTGCACAATATGTTACCAGCATTAATGTGAAAACTGCATTGATTTCAGCTGATTCTGGCTTCTGCAGGGAACTAGATGATGGGCTGAAAAGACTCCTGGTATGATTCAGTTTCATATACTCCCATCAGTTTAAACTGAAAAAAAATAAATAAAGAGAACAGCACTGAATTCCCTTTAAATGAATTCTCTAATATCCACATACACTCTTTAAGAAATGTTTAACAACACGGCATTATTTCTGTTTAACCTTTTGTGCCTTTCTTCTGTAGTGCCACCCTAGTGGATGCCTTATTGATCTCTGTATGCAAATGGGTATTATAATGGTGCTAAAGCAGACCTGGAATAATTTCATGGAACTTGGCTACCCGTAAGTAAATGCCATACTTCTGCTTCTGTAGGTCAGGGAAGAATATTAAGTTTATTGTTGCCTTCTGACCGGATACATGAAAGAAAGATACAGCAGTAATTACAATAGAAAATCTACCCTAGGGTAGAGAACGCTTAAGATAGATTTCCAGACATGTAGAGATAGCTGGAGTTTTTTATTTTTGTTCTTTATGTTGAACATAGTTTGCAAAAGGAACTATAAATACTGACTATTAAATAATAAATGGGAAGAAAGTAGTTGATTTTATTAAATTGTATTTCCCTGTTTTAAAACTCCTTAAAGATAACTGTAGGATTACTGTATTCCTTACGTAGGAAATATTATATGTATCATTTTTTATCTACTTCAGTAAGTTCTATATTGGATTTCTCCTTGCTGAGTGATAAAAGATGCCTGAAAGGGCAGGTATGGGCTGGAAAAAATGCACTGCTAGCATATACATGCTCAGAGATAGAAAAATGTTCTGACTGATACATAGGCAAGTTTCCTGGTGATCTTCAGAGCGTTGTAGAGTTGTGCCCTAGCTGAAAGGGTTGACCATTATTCATTTCCTATTTGTTCATTTCCTATTGATTAATATTTAAGGAGCATGATTAATATAAAGAGTTGATGGGAAAGACAGTGTGGCAGGTCATCAAGGGAAATTAGCAAATATGAAAATTTAAGAGAGAGATGACATGTTCAGAAAGTTTACCCTTGCGAAGCTGTGCCATTCGATGGGACGTGTTTTGCTGCAGGATGCACAGTGGAGCTAGTGCAGAGTTCGGTCCCCGAACTGCAGAACAGGCCGCAGCAAATCTTTTCAGCAGCCTCAGCGCTGACCAAATCCGACCGTGACGAGCATGGGGTAAATGATTTAAGCGGACAGAGTAACTGCGAATCGAGGCGGTCAACGCTTGCTCTCTCTCCCGGGTCCCCCTTCTCGGGTCGGCACCCAGCGCTGCCCATCACGATTCTGCACTAGCTACAGCTGAGGGAATTAGCCGGGGAGGAAAAACAGCAGCAGCAAGGGTGATCCTTCTCTTTCCACTCCCTGTCTCTTCTGTCAGTTTTACTTGCATCTTTCTGCAAGCTGTTAATAAGGGTCTTGAAACCTAATAAAGAGCACAAAGGGGATTAAATAAGGGGACTCAAGGAGATAGGAGAGATCATTTAAGAAGGACAAGTGATTTAATAGGAGTGAACTCAGCTTCAAGCCAGTCCTTTCACTTTGGAGTTACAACACAAATCTGGGCAATGTGAGAAGCTAAGACTTGTTCTGAGGAGAGAGGAATTTGGTCTCCAGCCCTGTTACTCCATCTCTCTAGCCCTGAGAGTCCTCTGAAGGCCGGTAATTTCCTTTTTGTGTGGAAAAAAATGCCATGATCCTTCAGCTAAATGCATCATTGGAGCCAACACCATGCGGATGGTCAGAGGGTTTGGAGGCAATCCAGTAGTCTACAGCTTCACTGTGCCTCCGTACACATGTTAGCTCCTGACTGCCTGGACCCAGGCAGCGCCAGCGCTGTGCCACACCAAAGCCAATAGTGGGGGATGTTTCCCCATAAAACAGGCCTCAGAGAAGAGCTACAGCAGCCTTTTTTGGAGAGTTTTTTTTTTTGTTGTCTTCCTTCCTTGCCATTGTTTCAGATTGGCAGCCCAGCTCTTGTGCTGGCATGTGCTCCCACAGGGACCTTGGAGACGAGCAGGGCCGTCTGAAACGCCTCTCTGGGCACCAGCTGTTCTGTAGCAACAGGAACCTCAAAGCCTGCTGTCACATCTCTCACTCATACCTGTAACATTAACTTGTGTTTTGAAATTTCTGCTTGAGAATTGAAAACTAAGTTTCTAAGAAACCTGCCATAGAAACCAGAAAGAGTTTGAGTGTGCTGAGATCTGAGTGCTAGAGCATTTATTGTTTAATGGTTACATGTTTTGATGCAAATACTGGCATGTCAGAGTGGTACTTCTGCTTCCTATAAACATCACCTCAAAACCTTCAGAAATGTGAGTCAGCTCTCCTTTCCTGTGTTGCTAAATAAATACATTCGCAATAACTAGAAAACAAATTATAAATTATTGCTTCATTTGGAGGTGGGAAACTGCAATTTCAACTTGATATTTTGCTTGGAAGAACATATATCCATAGGAAAAAACACATTACATTACATTGTTCACATTTCTCAGGACATACAAATTAGAAGAAGACATTTCTTTGGATATTAGCAGCAGTCTTCAATATTGGTAACACTGGATATGGGCTTCCCATCTCATAAAATATGAAATTAATTGGGATGCACCTCACAGTGTTGGTCTCCCATCCACCTCATCCCTCAGTTTTCCCTTTTTGCAGGAGTTCAGTTCTCAACCCTCTCACTATCCCATGGTAAGGGTAGGAGAGGAAGAGTACCAAAGAGCGCTATGAACTGCAAAGAATTGCCCTTTACTGACCCATAATCCATCAGTCACAATCATGCCTTGTTACCAGGAGCAGATCTTTTAGCCTTTTTACACATTAGAGACTGGCTACAAGCTGCAAAAAACATTTTAATTATTTTTATACTTCTTTCTACATTTTGGCTTGAGGTCCATGCTTGCACTTGTACTTCTACATTTTTTTCTTGTACTTCTAAATTTTAATGTCCTGCACGCAGTTGCACCTCCAGTGCTTTGAGGAAGACAAGGAAAGTTATAACCTCTCTGCTAATTGGCCTGAATGGTAAAATTGTCTCTGAACTTTAAAAAAAAACGAGCAAGTGGCCAAACCCTCAGCATTATGCAATGGCCGCTTGCCTACCATTCATAGAGAGACCAGACCAGGCCACTGTGAAGGCAAGAAGCTAAGTACAGTGCAGGGAAAGGTTTGAATTATCTGGGTGAGCCATCACCTTCTACCTTGCTGAGACAAAGGCTCCTACCTCAGATCAAGGGGAAATATCTTTCATGTGTTGCTTTTTCCTTTCTCTGCTAGCTGTAACTTGTATCCCTTGTTGACCAAACCAGTGCAATTCCCTGACCTAAGAGGTCAGGTGAGAAGCTAAGGTGTTTATTTCAGGTATAGGCACTCATTTCTGGCTCACTGCCTCCCATGCTGCCCCTCTACATACTTTTCTTCAGGAACAAGATGTTTCCCCTGGCAGTTCCCCCACCCATCTTGAGATGGAGGTAGCTTTTAGGTCAGCTGCTGTCCTCATGTCCACCACGTGTGCTGTTAGTAGTCCACCTCTTCCCTCTGCCCTTGTTTCCAGACACTATATTTCCATTCAAAGATACTTCTTCCCCTCCAACATTGCTGAGGAACTGTTTGCCTTGCACAACTTTGGGCTATGCAGAGATACCATCTCACACGCAGGGAGAGGTCAAGCAGCATCAGCTCTCTGTTTCCTCATTTCTCATTTAGAGTTCAAATATCTCCACACAGCATTGCGTTGTACGATATGAACAGACCCCAGACCGGCTTGCCATTTTGTGCAGGGAACAAGAAGCCTAATAAAAGGATGTTAGAATCCCTCTTCCGTTTTAATGACATGTAGGCCTGACTAACAGCCCACTAGCCTTATCTGTTTGCACACCTATTTCACTTGGTCATCAGCCATGTGTATTACTAATGCTGTGTTGTCCTGTGCATTGGTAAATTCATTTTGCAAGATAAATTGTGCACGCTTAGCCTCTTCCAGTTTTGTGAGGAATAGCCAGTAACATTCTTTACTTTGTTTCTGTAATTTATTTGAAAATATAGGCTAATTCAAAACTGGTGGACCAGGAGAAAACTACGACAAGAATATGGCACACAGAGAAAAACAAGCTTCCCACAGTGGGAAAAGGACTACAATCTTCAGCCTATGAATGCTTATGGACTCTTTGATGAATACCTAGAAATGAGTATGACACTGACCTTGTTTCTCTCTCTTTCACTAGATTTTAATGTTTTTACCTTTTTGTTGGTGTTGAGGGCTGATGTATTCTTTTAACTATTGCTTGTATGAAGCTAAAGAGGCTGCAAAATGATTTTCACTCTCACACGTCAGGTGAGGAACGGGAGTGAGTTTTTAAGAACCAAACCAAGTCAATATAGACAACCTCGTTGCTCCTGGTTTGCTAACCTTGCATTTATGAAACACTTCTGATTCCGGCTTTGTGGGCAAGGTTGTTTTCTAAATTGCCGCCCACCTCTCTGCCTGTATACATTTCTGAATAACTTTGCTGTTTTTGTTCAAGGAAGTTCCCTTGGGCTTTTATTTTTCAACTGTGTGGCACAGAGCTGAATGCTTGTTTATGATTAAAATGTGCCATTATTTACTACCTCACATCTGCAAATTAGCTTGCTGCTAAAAGACATTGCTTAATTTGGGGAAGAGAGAAGGGTAAATGATATAAGAAATGTTAAAGAACGAGAACTTTTGCCTTAGGTGACTGATCTGCATACGTCATGAACAGTTTTTTCTCCCTTGCATAATTCTTTTGAAATTAAGGGGAAATGTGACAGTCTGGGAACCCCCCTTTAGAACCTTGCATAAATGGTTTCAAACAGCTGCCCACCTGTACTGCAAAACGGCGTGTGTTTAGCCCTAATCGTTGCAGTTACTGAGAGATCCCAGTTGATGCTGGAGTAAAAATGTTCACTCTCTTGGAGTGAACCTCTTTGGAGGTCTGTTAACCTCCAAACTTCTCTCCAAGTTACAAAATCTGGATGTCACGCTCTGTCTAGAGTACAGATGTACATTTTTTTTCTCCTCCTGGCTCTGAAAAAAACTGCAGTACAAGAGCCCCTAGGCTATTGTATAGCACAGCACAACGGGAAATGTTTGTCCCTGTGTGATACTTTGGTATCTTATACCTTGGGATAAAATCTCAACAGTTATATTATGATCTTTCCTTTTCTTTCCTAGTTCTTCAGTTTGGGTTCACAACCATTTTTGTGGCAGCTTTTCCACTGGCACCACTTCTAGCCTTACTTAACAATATTATTGAAATTCGACTTGATGCATACAAATTCGTTACGCAGTGGAGGAGACCTTTAGCTTCAAGAGCCAAAGACATAGGTGAGCTCTGTGTGTGTGTGTGTGTGTGCCCACATGCACGTGTGTGTGTTGTTTTTAAGGCAAAGCACTGACCACTTCAAGCAAGAGTGAATTAAGTAATTTTCAGTCTTCTCCCCCGTTACCAAAGCACAGTTTTGATTGTTCAAAAAACTTAAAATATCTAATGCCAATCTATTTTGGCAATTAAGAGTTTATATTGAAAAAATGTCTTTTAAGGAATTCCTGGGTCACTTATCAACTAAGATGTTTTAATGAAGTGATCAGGGTTCTCTGCAGGTTTTTTCTTGTAGCAGACACCTTGTGTGAACACATGCAGCTGCTCAGTTTGAATATAATAACCAGACAGAGCAGCTGAAACATGAAAACCAAATTAGAACAGCTGCCATTCTGTAACAGTCCTGTGTGTTCTCTGTGCGCCCTGGCCAAAAACAAGCTCCCCTGTGACTCAGGGGCTATGTCCACTAGGTCTCTGGGTGGGTGAGACAGGGAGGGTCTAAATTCCAAGAGACAATTTGCTCTCAATGAGGCACACCTCCATTGCTAAACATAGGGCTCGCATAGCTTTGAGGTCACCCGGCCACACGCTGCTGCAAGGGCTCTCTGAACATGTTTTGACCATAAACCTCCTCCATCCTTGCAGTGTGCAAAAGCTGAACGCTTCTAGAAGGATTCTATAAAACCAACTCATCTGCCCAATGCTCATTCCCTGGTGTCTTTGGAGGGATAAACAGGATACATAGCTGCCCTTCTGCATTGCAGAAAGTATCGTATTTCGCCCACACCATAGAATAGCAGAAACTCAGGCTTTCTGCTCTCAAGAGTTGTATACAACATACCTAAAATCTGTGTCTGAGTAAAGCCTTGTAAGTGAACAAAGTGGACCTAAAGGGCATTTAGGTACAGGCATGGACTTCAACCAGCACACAACATGCACTGCAGACATAATTTCTGGAAAGAGAGTTGCATAATTTAAAAGCGCAGGGAAATAGATTTTTTCCAGCCAGATTCAGGTATGCTTTCTCACAATGCGTTACACCTTACTTTAGTCCCTGTTCAGCAAATTTTTAGGGACAGCATGATGTCTCATTCAAATCAATGGGTGCATCTAACCTGGCTTTGGTGGGATTCTCAGTGTTGGTCCCCATCACCAGAGTCACTGTGTGTCCATACTGCAGTTCAGATTGGGCCGAAAAGCCCAGGTCATGCCTAGGGTCTCAGTGTGCCATTGTACATGTACATCATTTGTATGCCATGAATGTTTGGATGCAGACAGGCACAGGCTGCACACAAGGCCTCTGCAAACTCAGGCAGACTGTGAATTACATATACTCAAGGCTGATCTGGCAGACCCTCCTCCAAGGCTGGACAGGAGGCTTACAGCTTTTCTTAAAACTACCCACGTGGTTAAGTGGTTTGGTTAAGGCAAGGCCTCCATGAGCACTTTTGGTGGCTTCAGCCCTTTGGTGGGAGTAGAAATCTGGTCCATTGGGGTCCTTCAGTTTAACATGAAAGATTATTTTTACTCCGTAACTCTCTAATAGAAGCTGTATAAAAAGCCTGGGGGTGGGACAACTGCTTCAGATTGTGCAGTATTTGAAGTATTTTTGTCCTTGTTTTTCCTGGAGCTAACGTACTCTCTTTATCGGACAGGAATCTGGTATGGGATTCTGGAAGGCATTGGAATTCTCTCTGTTATCACAAATGCATTTGTTATAGCTGTGACGTCCGACTTTATCCCTCGACTCGTTTATGCTTACAAATACGGACCTTGTGCAGGCCAAGGAGAAGCTGGACAAAAGTAGGCTTTTCTCTAGGAAAAATATTGTGCATGAAACTCCCTGCCTCCTTGAATAGATATAGCAGTACTGTCTGTGTATGCACGGATTCTGCTAACCAAAATGTATTGCTTGTGCTTAGGTAACAGATACTAGCCACAGGTATTGATGCTTTGCATATTCCTAGTATGGGTTTCTGGGTAACTATAATTTATTACATTAATTCAAGAAGAACGTGGCAGAGCCGTTATAGAGATTCGGTGTATGTAATAGCATGCTATTTTCCTAATTGATGCACAAACTGCACTTCCCAGCTGGTGTACCTAGATATAGCCCTCTTTTAGTGATGAGGAAATGCTAATATTTATCAGATATGGATTTAGTCAACATTTTAAACTTATTCACTAAGCTTTTTTTCCTGATGTAGTATTTAGTATGTATTACTTCAAAAAGTAGTGTCTATTGAGAAGAAGCAATTCCCAACTAATAAATCAAGATATAGTGACTGAACAGAGTAACCTGATTTTCTTCTAAAACTAGAGTCCCTTAGATTAAATCTTTCAGGAGACATTTGTGAACTGAATCCCTGCTGCCTAAGTGGATTTTCTCTCAATATTGGTAAAAACTGAGGTTACGTTAGGGCGTGCACACCTGCCAGCAAGTATGAGTATAGCTGCTAAATGGCAGCTTGTAAAATTTGGTCTGTTGGGCTGGTGGGAGGGTCATTGAATCCAGCGAAACACAAACAGGGACAGTTTGCAACCATCTCCTAGCCGCTCGGTTAGTAAGGACCCTACTGTTAAAAGAAACAGTAGACAGAGCGCTTACATTTTGCTATTAGACATATGGCAGATTGATTTTTTTTTTCCTCTGCTACAGAAAGTGGGATCTGCTGTTGCAACTTTTTAGCCATCTTTTGGCTGTCACTACTATTTAATCATACTGATGGAAGAAAAGCAGCTGGTGTGGCAGTTCCTGATTATCAGAGCTGCTTACTTGCTGTCCTAAGAGGAGTCTGGCATTTCAGTAGGTGACAGGGGGAAACATTCCATTTATTTTCATGAAGAGTTAAAGTCTGTTCACTGGTAAAATGTTTGGTCCAGGGCCAGTCATTCCTGAGCATGTGCCTCCCCTTGTGGCATTATGAATTTCCGTAGGACACTGAGTAACTGTCAGCGATTTTCCTGCGCTATTGATTTTCTGAAGGCCACTGAGAATTTTTCACTGTGTATGAAAAAAAATGCTTTTAGAAATTTTTTTTTTTAAAGGAAGTGAATACGATTCACTGACTTTCAAACTAGTTCTGCATAGGGGAAGTAGCTTGGCTCAAGGAGGAAGCTCTGAACTTGTCATCTTAGAAACCTCTTGTACAGTGTTTTCACATCTTGATGCTTTTCTAAGTGAGCTTCTCAGATAAAATCATCAGATAATAATCCTCTGAAGGAGACAGCTTGGATAAATACTCTTTTTGTCAGCATTCCGGATATTGTTATTAATAAGTGCTGTTACAAAAGTAGGAAGGTATTCAAAAATCCACAGGAATATTGAATTTTCTTAAATTTAGGAGTCAAGAGTATCTGTCACTAAATAACTTAAATGAGCAAGGTGACTGCTTCTCTCAAAAAACATCTGTAGGTATTAGACCCATATGGTACACACTGATACTATAAAAATCTTGTAATTAAATTAAGTTCCAAATCCAGTCTATATGGGGATTTTGAGTCAAAGCTAGATGGCATTTAAACATAATTTCTCAAGGAATGTAAAATTCAAAGTTAAAAAAAAATATATATATATATTGCTGTACAGAAAATCCCATAATGGAGAACCATTCAGTTTCAGCTTTATGAACACATCTGGCCCCACAATTAGAAATAATAACATAGTTTTGAACTGTATGATTTGGTAGTGCTGGATTATAATGATAGCAGTATAAGGCCATGTCTAACATATCAAACCAAAATAGATTTTTAAGGATCTACTTAGATCACCCAAGACTGTTGGTGCCCCCAGCAGCAGTTCTTGGCAGGACATAATTGGTTTGCAAGCTCTCCTTTAAAGTGATTTTCAGCCCTGGGTTGCGTGACCCAGAATGCTTCTAAGCTCATCTTAGATACTTGTCCAAATACCCGTAGGATGGCTGTTGGAATCAAAGCTTTATTTGAGAGGTTTTGATTCAATGAACGTATGCGAATCACTTTCTGTTGCAGTCTTAAACAGATCATTTTCCAGTCCCCGTTGGTCAGAATTACCTGGTAAAACCCTACGAACAGGGTTATTTAGGAGCTATCTTCGTGGGAGCTAAATCTGTTCATTGATTACAGCTTTTTGAGAGCATTAGCTGGGTTTTGTGCAGTACTTATTGTTTCAGTTCTAATACAGCACTCGCAGACAGAGTATGCGGTATATCATGAGGAATAGTTCTGTGAATAGTTTAGGTTATATTTGATCCTTTTCTGTGTTTGCAAATATGTTTAGGTAGCCTTTTGATTAGCTCAGTTCAGCATAAGTGTTAGGAGAACAAAAATAGGTTCGTTCCCTCCTTCTTTCTTCCTGTCTCAAAATCTAGCAACTTTGTGTAATTCCATGGATGTCCTTTGAGTTTTAGATTTGAAGATGGTTTGGGTCAACCACATCAAGAACAGTGGGACATGAAGAACAGTGGGGCAACACTAAAAATGGATGGCCATGATGGTGTTGCGGCTGGTTATTCTGGGTTTTGGTAGCAGCAGTTGGTTTTTTTCCAGCTGACTAAAGAATTTAAAGCTTTCTCAGTCCCACTGCTCTGCGCAACGCTGAACAGTGTGCCTAGACTTACCCACACTTGGGCAGTGCAGAGTGAACAGCAAACAGCGCTCTTGCCATGTGTTCCCTCAACTTCATTAACACTGAATTTGAGCCTGTTAGCCAGCAGCCCTTTGTCAGGCAATATACATTTGCTCAGTATTCTCCAAACCTATGTCTCTGAATGCTCAGCCACACTGTAATCTTTCAGTACTGAGTTCCTCTGATTAACTGGACATTTTGGAGGAAAAAAAAAACAAAAAAGTCTAGTAAGTCCAGTTATTTCCCTAAGCTGTTTTAAGTGTTTTAAGCCTTTCCATTTAATTTAATGTCCTTTTGTGCTTGTATTATGAGAGTAACAGCGTAAGTATTCTAATTCTCTTCCTAGTGCCACTCATTATTTTCTCTGCCTCTACTGTGTCAGCTTTTAATAATCTCTTTTCTAAGGTAGCCAGTGTCTTCGCTATTTCTTCTCCCATAAAAGTCTGCCATTGCTTCACTTTTATTGTCCGTCTGACCCACTTCAGCATTTCTATTATATTGCTTCAATATCCCTTTCAAATATTAATAAGCGTCAGAGATAGCTGCAGATTTTGTGAAACCCAGAGAATATCCTCCTGGGCACAGTAGTTAATGGAAAAACCTTGCTGTGTCCTGACTACAGGACTTTTTTCTTCTCTAGGTGTATGGTTGGCTACGTTAATGCCAGTTTATCTGTATTTCTGGTGTCTGACTTTGAAAACCGTTCAGAGCCAACATCAAATGGAAGTGAATTCTCTGGTTCACCATTAAAATATTGCAGGTAAGCATCTCATTAAAACACCTCTCTGCTTTTAAGGCACTGCAAGGGAGAAGTATTACGATAAATTTTGGGTTGGCACTGGTTTTCAGAACTTAAAAAAAAGTAACAGAAAAAATAAAAGTGTAGTATTCAAGAACACACTGATGGTACTGTGTGAATGTTATTTGCAGGACTCCTTCCTTACGTGGAAGAGAAGCTGAAAAGTGGGTATCTTGCAGGTGTTCCTGATGCAGGATTTGAATGATGTCAGGGGTTGAATCATACACAAGAATCATGGAAAAAGTATGATACCAAAAGGCTAATAATAGGTAACTTTGGTTCCTTATGTACCAATGAGATGAAAATGTAATCAGGTTACAGTGTAACACATACACAACGAAGCCAAATTAAGGTTGCATAGGAGTGACCACATTGGATCATTTCACAGGTCTGTCTGGCCTAAACAGCGTCTCTCCTAAGCTTAGTTTAGAAAACCTTAAGTCTAGCATTTCTTAACTGCTGAATGGTTAATATGTTTATATTATTGCTTGTGGGTGTCACTATTAGCAACAATCATACACTTCTGGTTTGAACCAGAATAAAATGAGCAGTTGATCATCCTTGTGTCTTTGTTCTTAGTCTGCAGATTGGAGAAATAGCAGTTTGGGACTAGCCTGTAATGAGAGATTTGCAACTGGTTAATATTAATGGTCCAGAGAATTAAGCATCTACATACAGATCTTAAATGGGGTTTCAGTCAAAAATACCAAATGATAAATATAGTGGCTATTTTTTAATTGCAATATTGCTTTACTAGCATGAGTCCTGGTGCCTGCAGGTCCCCAGTATTTTTCATTATGAAAAATTAAAATAACCTTTCATGAGGGTCTAAAGAAATAAAATAATACTTTAGTCCTTACAGAAGAAGTCACCAATTCTTTGTAATGTGGTGGCATTTTTATTAATAATAAAAAATTGAAGTTGTATAGACTAGTGAGCTGGTGGGAGGTGGTGGCATTACTACTTTCATTTAAGTAAGTAACTGATATTGTGAGACTCTGTTGCACCTTATCTTCCAGAAAAAAGAACCTCATGTTGGCTCCATAGATAACATTTTCTGTGGAACAGAACTGCTAAGGAGAATACTTCATTCCAGACTGTTTGCCATAGCACTTTTTGAGAAAGTTTTGGATTCTGATCACGCTCCTCCCACTCCTCCTCCTGTGTAATTCCTTTCTTTCCCAACTTCAGGCATGAGCTTGCTGCTGCTTAAAGCCAGTGGTAGAAATCCCATCAATAAATGAAAAAATTGTCCCCTCAGTATCTCATACACGGAAGACTATTAAAATTGATGCGATAAATCTCTAGAAGATAAATCTGTTCTTTGGGGGTACACTGAACTGTCTGTATACCTACCCTTGATAGAAGATGTCTTACTTTCTCTAACTGAGTTTATCAGCTACTTAACCCATCCGAATTCTGCTAAAATGTCAGTCATTTTAATTGCACTTTAAGCCAGATATTGATAAGGATGGAAGGAAATATTATGTCCTACTTTGTAACAGGAAGGGCAGTCTATCTGAGCAAAAATGCGACCATATTCAGTTAACTTTTGCTTGTATGCAATGCAGATGTTCCTGTACTGTTCTGGTTGTTTATAAAGGTTTTCTGCATTTCTTCATGTGTAGTGCTTGGTTCCTAACAAATACAAAAATATGAGGTACTCTGCTGAATTGGGACCTGGTCCAAGGGCATAAGTTATGAAAAGTCCTAAACTTTGAAGTCAGCATGCTGACTGCACAGGGGAAGATCATCTCAGTTTTAAGAATTTGCACTAGAGATATTGCAATTTAAGAAAAAAATGTTGCTGACTAGAATCCCAAGATACAGTTTATTTTATTTTGTATAGCACCCTCTGCAATCTAAGAAGGTGAGCCGTCAGGGAGAAATGTAGATTGTCTCTCATAAAGATGAAATTGCTATTTCATTCTTTCAGTCATCTGAGTTTTCTCTGGTTTCTTAAAACTGACTTAGAGATCAAGCTTAAGTGTATTATTTACTGTGGCATTTTCAATATCGTTTATAATGAGTTTTATGTCCCATGAAGGAAATAGATTAATTTTCCACAATATTATTTTGGAATTGCAACATTGTCAATAGAAATGGGCTCCAGAATGGGCAAATTTTCATGATTTGTTAATGCAGTTTTGGAGTTTTCCTGGATCTAGCTTTCCCAATAGACATCTCTTATTACTTTTTTGAGACCTGAAGTCTTTAAAGAACCATTCTGTGAGCCAGGGCACTAGATCACTTTCTTACACAGGCTTTGCCCTGTTGGGATATCAAGAGGAGCAGTTCTGGCTCCGTTAAAGTCAGAATCATTTCCTCCAGGCTTCAGGTGCCTGGAGGCTTCCAGGCCAGAGACTTCATAAGAGCTACTTATGCTTTATTCCAGAGATGGTCCAAAGGCCAGATGGAGCCCATGGGCTTTAGGAATGTGTTTGGGTGCTCTAAAATGTGACCCAAGTGGAGGTGATCAGAAGATTTGCTTCAAAAACATGCTCGTGATCTAAGATAAAACACTAACGTACGCACAGCCTAAGAAGCAAGCAGGAGTTTTGGTGACTTGTACAGTCTGAACGGAGACCATTTTGATGCCCAAAAGGCACTGATAAACAGCAACGGGGTTTTGGCTTGGTCTTGCTCCTAAGTAGCAGGCTAGGATCTTGCTAACTATCATACTCTGCTTGTCTTTCAGGTACAGAGACTACCGAGACCCTCCTCACTCCCCTGTGCCCTATGGTTACACACTGCAATTCTGGCATGTCTTAGCAGCACGGTTGGCTTTCATTATTGTATTCGAGGTCAGTGGCCACTCAGCTGGCAAATGTATTTGTTTCTCTGCTGTAACAAAAACAACAAAATGAAACAAATTTCCATTTCAAGCTTTGTCACTGGGCTGATCTGTGGTGGTAGGTGTTGAGCTTTTCCTGTTAGTTTCTGACATTTATAGATAAGTGGTTTGTATTCCCTGTTCTGTTTTCTGAACAGTCACAGGTATTTTGATTTTAACTAAAAGGTGAACGCAGCACTTTGAAAAATATAATGATGACATGCAAATAGGGGAAATAAATGAAGTTTTTATTTACTTTCTGAGTTTTATTCATTCATATCCAATCTAGGCTGGGAGGTTGTATGCTGACTAGTGAGTGAGTAAGGGATGAAAGAATATGAGAAGAAAGGATGAAATCTCAACAGTTTAAAAATGAAGATAGTTTAAGTTACAGTGTTTAAACATTTGGGTTTTTTTCTCTATTCTTACTACCATTCATTTCCAGAGACTGATTAACATCACAAAGATAATAATAAAAATTCAATACCTTTGCCAGTGTTCCGAGTGTTAGTACTCACTGTTAGTATCTCAGAAATCTTTAAGACAAGCCAGAGACAAGCCAGCTTCACATGACTCTCATTTCAATGGTAATTCAGAAAAAGAGAGAGGGGAGGGAGGAAAAATAAACTGAGATCATTCACACAACAAAATGTAGCTCTTGAGGCCTGAATTTCAGATGCTTGAAAATCCACATTTCCTGTCAGAAATCAGGTGCTCAGCATTTCTCCAGCATGAGCAGTTTGAAATGCCTTGTGTACCATGCAGAAGCCAAACAGGGAACAAACAATTTTTTAAACTCTTCGCTCAGTCCTCCTCTCTGAAGTCATAGCAACAGGGCTTCCAACATAGATATAGAAGTTATAATCATCATAAATCGTTGGCATACTCTTTATGAGCACATATTGTGTTTTTGACTCACATTACTGTGTAAATTCATTCTGACCTGGGCTTTCAAAACACCTCCTTCAATCACAGAACAGAAGCATCTGAGTAAGAGGGAAGTGAGGAGCAAACATTTTCTAGATTATTTCTTGCCTATGACTATCTTGGCAGCTCAGCTGAAGCCCAGGGTCTTCAGTGAACTCCCCCAATCTCAGCCCTTCCCAGACCAGGGAGGAGTATGGCATTGCAGCCTGGGATCTCTCCTTCCGCCGCGCTAGGCTAACTCATTAGAAGCTGGTCCTATGGAGCCTGACTCTTCACTGATCTCTGCCACACTCAGGGAAACAGGAGAAAGAAAGAATGATTTATCTGATAGAGGCCTGCGGGGCTTGATCTCATCTTTGTTTCCTGAGTTGTCAGTGCTGAGAGCCAGGGTATTCCTCTCCAAGTAGGACTACAGGAAAGACCTCAGTAGGTCGTAGCCAAACAGGGCTCCAACACAGAGCCTTTGTCAACCTAGGGAGTTTTAAGCTTGGAGAGAGCCTGGCTTTTTGAAACGTATGGGCAGCTGGCATAAAGGCAGCATGGAACAGGGATAAAGATAACTGAGGGAACAAAAATCAACCCTGCTGAAGTCTCACTGCCTAGCCAAATTTGCGACCTCTTATGAAATAGTTTTTTGATTATGGCCAGTGCTTACACAAGAGAATTGTCTTTCCTTTGCCCCAACCAAAGCCATAGGCTAACTCAAAGCTATCTGCCTCAACAGGGGCCATTCTGTTGATTGGCGCTGCAGACAGTCTCCTTAACTGTATCTCTGAAATCATGCAGAGGTGTACAGAGCACTTGCTTCAGGTTAGGGCAGTGGCTGGTCCTCTCCCTCCTCCAGCTATGAAATAGCTTTGCAGTTCAGCTGAAAGAACCCTTGAGCATATTGTAGTATTGCTTTTATAAAGCAGTTCTTGCCGTTACCAGGGGGATATTCATAAATAGGAGGGAAAATAGTTCACATATTCCGTCTGATGGAGGAGGCACCCCAAGGAAGCCAGTTTCTAACAATATGTGGTCCATGTTATCCTAACAGCCTTTGAAGCCTGTACTCCTCTCTGCCTTATCCCTCAGTGCTGCACCCTGTCTGAATGTTAAGTTATTCACCCATGCAGGCATCGGGTGCAGGACACAGTGTGCTGCATGGTGTTAGGTCAGGTGTCAGAATCAGCTCAGCTTCATTAATATAGTGCTCTGCTCAGGTGACTTACTGTGCTGACCATATGGTGAGTGGCAGAGTGCCATGCTAATGTGCTAGGTTGCTTCTGAGGCTGCTTCTAAGCAGCTATCTTGGTGGCTTTTGCCTAACTCTATCTTCCCTAGGCATTAGGGGCTGTCTGCTTGAGTCTTCCTTTTGCTCTTCTGCAAACAGGTAGCAGGGCAGGGAAAAGTGGAAAACCATGCCTGGGATGACACAACCTGAGTTGTGTGTCCTGTGTGACCAAACTGAGAAGTGTGTCATGAAAACATTCAGCAACAGCAACAGGAGGGTGCAGAATGGCCAGTGCTTTTTAGGGCTGCTAGACCTTGGACTTGAGTAACATGAATGGAGCAAAGGAAAAAAGAAGAGACAGGAAAAGCATGGAGAGTCCTCAGGTGATTGCTGATTTGGAAGATTTGGACGTAAATGTAATTGCAGCAGAAATCATGCCTATCTTTCTCTACAGAGAAGACTAATGAATGTTTTGTGGGTGCTACAGCAATTACAGTAGAAGATTTCCCTAAGAGATAAGTAATTCAAGGTAGTTCACAAGTTAAAAGACTAGCTCGGCTCAGAAACCCTCAGACACTGCGCAACGTGGGCATAGTTATTTTGGCCTGGTTCAGAAACAAAGGTATTTCCTATCACTTTTAAAGGAATTATTTGTCCAGGCTAAACTGAGCATTCAGTGACAATGCTAAGACTGAAGAAACTTTTGTCTTTTTTTTTTTTTTTGATTTAGCAGAAGAACAGCAATTTAGACTTTGCTTCTTCTCTCTCATGAGGGCAGAATGCGTAGGAAAATGTGTTATGTTTTCTCTTCAGTCGCTTTCTCAAAGGAAGGGTTTGGGTTGGAGAAGAAAGAATGCCTTTATTTCTCCAATTTGGAATGAGTCTTCTTGCTGAGATGGAGGATGTTTCTCCATTCACTCTCAAGTGGAGCGAGTAAATCTTCAAGCAGCATCTTTGATGAAAAAAAAGAGGAGACCCAAGCAATCCTCCTCCATCCCACTCAAGCTTTGCTGTGGCATGCCTAAAACATTAGGGACAAAGGGTCAGTTACCTTGTATTTAATTGGGATGTTTAGTAAAAGTAAGGATGGTTTTGAATGAGAGATATAGAGTGTAAGAACTGCTTTGCTTTGCATGGATGATTCATTGGTTTAAATACTTATGCAAAGGTTTTGTGGAAACAAAAAAGTATCGTATCACTTGATCCCCCTTCTGCAGAGCAACCCACTAATGGCAGGCTCTTCCCAGATGACCTGACTGCAAAGCATGACCGCAAGGGTTTGAACACACAGGTCGTACAGCAGTTTTGCAGCCTTGTTTGGGCCCAGCTGCCTTTGGCCTTTGCTGAAGTCCATGCTCTGCTGACCTCAGCTGGAGCTTCAGTGGGAAAAAAACATCATGATTTGATTTCTTCAAATTTAGTAATGGGTTTTGTTCTAACACAGCATCTACCTGTGAGTTGAAAGGAGAAGGTTTTCGGGGGAATAAAAAGCACTTGTTTTCTTCCTGAGATTTCTATTTTAAATATATTCATTTTCCAACCATTTTTATTTTCACAGCACCTTGTCTTTTGCATAAAGCACCTGATTTCCTACTTAATCCCAGATCTCCCAAAAGATTTGAGAGACCGGATGAGGAGAGAGAAATACCTGATTCAGGAAATGATGTACGAAGCTGAACTAGAACGTCTGCAGAAAGAAAGGAAGGAAAGGAAGAAGAATGGAAAATCTTATCACAATGAGTGGCCATAATGGGGTGAGGAAGGAGCTGCTTAAAAGAAAATAGGAATTATGTTCCTAAAAATCTCCTTTTTTTCTACACTGGAAAGTGCAAAGTGAAAAAGAAATAGTTAGTGTATGCTATGTGCACTTAGCACATGCGTGCCCATATTTAATATGGTGCACATATCACATAAGTGTTTTCAAATTAAAGGTCTTATAGATTTAGTCTTCTCCAGAGCTAATGTCAGTATGAGCAGATCAGACCAATGCTTAAGTCTCTGCGCTGTTTCCAGGAAGCTCTCAGGCCAATTTAAAGACAAGGCCCTAAACTTCAAAGTAGTTATATATCTTACAGTGCTTTACACAACTTAGTGATCTCGTGGCTCCTCATCTTGATCAAGTTGCTACTTCATAACCAGTGACTATGCGTTAGAAAACTGGCAGCATATGTCCATGTACGTGGCCACTGCCTGCAGCAAACGTATGGCAATGTTGCCCCCTTCTAGTATGGGCTAAGCTATGTCGGCTTGCTAAGATCACATATGCAGACCATATCCACAGCTCCAATGGTATTCAAGTATTCAGGGGAAGCACTCGATCATAAGTCTAATCAATTGGTCTAACAGCATTGAATATTTAGCTGTGCAGAAGAGTTGAAGGACAGAAAAAAACATAAATATGGATAGAGGTGTCTAACTTTAAGGTCATTTATTTGGAAGTGTTATCCTGAAGAGCTGGAAACAAGTTTTGAAGATTTGAACAGTGCCTTTGCAGCATATAGGACTGTCTAGTCTCAGAAGGAAGCAAATCAGGCTGATTTGCTCAGCCTATACCTTGCCCAGTATTGCCCAGATGTATTTGTATTGACGCTGAGGCCTCATCAGAAATTAATGTGTGCGTTGCACATAACAGAAAACAGACGATGTCTTAAAGACTTATCTGCCTAAGTCAAACAAGAAAAATAACAGATGAAAGAGGCCAGCAGAGCAAAAGAACATATTCATTCAGAATTTCTGCTCTTGGAGCTTGTTCTTTATTCATCCTTCCATTACCTACAAAGGAGTGGGCAAAAAAAAAAAAAGAAAACCAAAAAAATCGACTGCCGTATGGAACAACTTGAACTCTTTCATACAGACCAACATGCTGGTAAATCTACGCAGGCTGTAGAATTAAATTTGGCCAAAAGGGGCCGCTGTCAGTAACTGGTATGTCAGTAACTGGTATGAACAGATTACATCTACTTTCTTTTGCCAACTGATTAGTATTAAGGAATTAACAGTTTCTCAGATCATTAGCCCAAAATAGTGGAGTTGTAAGCCTGAAGACTGCAGAAGTGTTGGATGGAGCAATATGAATCAAAATGTGCTGGCTGAGCATTGTCAAAGCTCTACTGCCTCTTACCTCAAAGTGATAACACTGCAATTCCTGCAGAACATGAAATGGCATAATCAGCCACAACACGAAGAAGGAACCTCAAAAGCCAAGGATGTAGGAAGACAAGCGGAAGCAAACATATGTCCTGGTGATATCCAGCTAAATACAAAATAATGGAGCTGATCAATTAGCACCTAACTCTAGAGCTCCATAAACCGTATAATTTTCTCATAAATCTTAAGTAATAATAAGGTTATTAGTTTAAAGGAATTTGAGAGGGAGGAAAATTCAGCAAGTTGTTTCTACAAGTTCTTCTAGAAACCATTCAATAGAAGGGCTAGAATTTGCCCTTCTATACAGACCACGCAGTGCAAGACACTATTGATAGATGCCTCAGTATCCACAAGTCTTTGGGACTGTTTGCACCAAGACCACACATTGCCAAGTTAGATCTACTTACTTCTTTCCACTGCAAGGTAGAACTGTGCTATTTCTGTGGGGGAGAAGGCTTTAATGATAGGTAATATGGCTTGGGGAAGGAGGGAGCAGAAGAAAACATATGCACCCTCATCTCTGTAGACACTGCCTTCCTATACTTTGCTTCCTCGCAAAAAGGAGCCTCCTTCAGTAGTGACCCATCTTCCTACATGAAGAGGATAAATGGCACAGCAGCTGCCCTTATCAGTGCTCCTAGCCCAAGCCTGAAGCTCCCATGAGGCAGCATAGCCTCTGAAGGAATTGCAGGATGACTCTGTTCTCTGTTGACTGGATGCCAAAATGAGTGGGCAACCCAACTGATGGTTGTGGGGTCTGTTCTTGTCTAAAGAGCAAGTGAACTTGTTTACTAATCTTTGCTTCAGCTTAGCGCAGCTGTGGACACTGCCCACGTGGACAGTGGAAAAAGGGGGATATTTCTGTCTCTCTAAATGTGCTCTCTGATACATATGTACTGGATGGGTCAGTACGTCCCACCCACCATCTACGGGTGTGTATTGTACTTGCAGTCTGGGTTCTCTCAGGCCAGATTGTGCAAAATCACATCCAGGCCAAATTCACATGCACTTGGCTTATTTTACATACCCTGTGTATAATATCTAAAATAAAAGATGACAACAGCTTATAAAGTGTTTGCTAGGTAGTAAAATGAGACATGAGTCGTGTAGAATCTGTGTTGCCCATAGGAGTATGAACCTTTCCGAACTCCTGCAGTGAGACATGGCTTTATCAGTGTAGTCTCCATAATTCCCCAGATCTGAATTGAAATGTATTACAACAACAACTGACCTCCACTTCTGAGGAACCACAGCAATCTAACGCATAAGAAATAAAATGCAGCAAAAATACAATAGATAATAACAGCTTTTGAGACGAGTTTTCAATATAGCTATTGAATTTTCATGGCATTACATTGCTAAATGTTATGTCAGGTTCTGCTCTAAATGAGAACACAAGCTGGCTGTTTTCCAAGCTTGTGCTGAGTATGATGCTGAAAGAGGCTCTGACCTTCCTGGCAGATCCTGAGCACATTTCTGTCGCTTAATGTTGACCAGCCAACCCACAGGGGTTTCTGTGCTGCCACTCTGCAAAATAGATTTCCCCTTTGTCCTTCAGAGTTGCATAGCAGAACACTCAGGAAAGATGACCCCTTTTTATTTATGTTTCATTAGGAAAATATAATACAAATAATAGGCTAATAATAATAAATGGACTCTTCAGGTCTCTAGATAGCAAATTTATACCAGTCCCTTATTTCTGATCTGATGAACGGTTTTGTTTAAACCTCCAGGTGATGGTCCTATATGTTGTTTACTTATTCCAGCTCCACAAGAGCACTATCTTCAAGAGAATGAGAGAAAATGCAACCTCAATGCATGCCACAGACATTTTCCATAGCAAGCAGGACAGCACACAGCAAAGGATTTACTGTGAAATCATCTTGCAATCAGCATAGGATTGATCACCATAGACCACTCTTGACAGCAAGCATGTACTTCACAAGCAATTATGCTTCAGTTTTTAAAACCAAGGAAAAAATTGTATATTGGGACTGTTTTTCAGCCTGTTTGCTACGTTTTTTGCATTCTGTCCCATGCTGGTTTTACAAATCTTAGAATAATAAATGTAAATGAAAAACCTGGATACTTTAACAAAAAGAAAGCCTAGGTATATAACATCATCTGCTTTCAAGCCACCAAATACTGCAACTGAAACCCTGTTTACAAATCAGTTCTTTTTTATTTCAAATCTTTCTGAGGGAACTTATGTTATTTACCATATATATAATATATAAAAAAAGTATATAGAGAGATTGTTTATTTGTAAATAGAAAAATCCTATGGAAAGAATGTCAAGTTTTCACACTTAAAAAAATCATCAGCATAAAGCCATGTTTAATGCTTGTATAATGTGATGCAATAAACTTTAAAATAAATTATGCATATGAAATCTTTGCTGTTTGGCATTCATGAGTTACTGTCTATATAACTTATCTTTTCAGAAGGCAAACGGACCAGTTGAGTGGAAGCAAATATAAATGCAGACTTAAAAGGACCAAGATCCAGTCACCTCTCGCCACCTTCTCGCTTTGAATCTTTTGCATGTTTACATTGCCAAATATTGTTAGTGTCGTTCTTTAGCTCTTTTTTAATGTTCTTACATTTTTTTCTCTCTTGACCCTACTGGATGCTATGCGTAATTTGAACGGTGTGGAGTGCTCCCACTTCCCAGGGAATTGATAGACTTCCACCATCTTTCACTTGGTGGGGTGAGCTTCTAGCTGGAATGGATAAGGGATCAGGGTAGAGGAGAGCGATGGAGACACTAAGAATTATCTTGCTGCTTTTACTCAGGCAAGGCCCTGGCTGTGGGTCCAGCTAGGAAAGGACAGTATAAGATCCCAGAGAAAATCTTTTTCAGAAATAAGTGCTTTAATTAGTGATGCCAATTTAAAAAATAAGTATATTGAAGAAAACAAAGCAGAAAGAGTCACTCTCTAGCTCTGCAGCAATCCTGGGAGGTTAAGTAACAAGAAATGGGGCAGTTCCCGGAGTCCTCTGCAAAGTTCAAGAATGTTTGTCTCTAAACCTTCCAGAGCAAGATATTTTCCACAGTGAAAATTCATCTTGCCATCTTGATCGTGGGCCAATAGATATTGTAGATAGATATATGTGGCCTGAACTTTCACTTCATACCAAAATCAAAATTAAATGACTGCTCAGTGCTTAAATAGTGACTTCAGACAATAAGTCAAACTTTAAGATGCTCATTTATGTGCTTTCTCAATTTTAATAAATTACAGGAATTCAAAACACTCAGAAAAAAAAATGATGCTATATTTTTTCTTAACTATGATAACTGGGAAAATTAGTCTTCACTCCATGAAAAAAACAGGTAGAAGTCACAGGTCATCCAGACAGTTTAATGCAGTATCAATTACAGTGCAAACAATGATCGCGGTACGGAGCAGTGCAATAAAGTAAATAGTGATGCTGTTTTACAGAAACCAGCTGCAATGATCAGTCATCCCTGGGAAGCACAGTCAGATGGGAGTTTAGCATGAAGGGAGTGTGTTGAGAGCACTGTAGCCCATACTGGCAGGCACAGAGGCTTCTATCTTCTCCATTGATGGTTTGCTGTGTGCCACAGAGCAGAGGCACAACAGTGCTCTTCACCGCATTTTGGTGCTCTGCAGTATAGTGGATATCCTAGCACTTACTTTTTTCAGACCTGTGGGCTGAAAGTTCCTGGTAAGTACAATTTATTTTGCTCCAGTGCTCAAGAACTGTTCTGTAGTGCAAAATGCAGTGCCTATTCCTGTGTCATGGAGATAGGGCCCTTGGCTGGATGGGCAGCACTGAACCTTTGCCAGCATGGGAAGCACAGCCAACTCTTCCATTTGGTGGACTAGTCTCTGAGTGAATAGGACACTTCCAGACTAGGGACCCCTGTCCCAGATCTCAGAAGACTTTCTTCAGGATGCTGCTGTTGTCTCACATTTCTGATATGGGGACACAAGATAGAGCAGGCATCCAGGCTGTAGAAGAGGTCAGCCTCTTGGAGCTCATTTTTGCTTCCTAATGTTTTCTGATCTTGTCAGCTTATCTCATGCAATAGATCATCAAGTGCCCTACGTCACATGGGCACAGAATAGCTTGATTTCAATGCTGAAGGGCCCAAGTGCAGATAAACTAGCCCCATGTCCTGTTCCAAGCTGCAGTGGCTCGGGGCCTAGGGCAGCCACAGCATAACTTTTAGAAAGCATTTAAGGCACACAGTCAACATTTTGTTTGGGCCGCAAGCACAACTGCTTTATAAGCTTCACAGATTGGCTTTCCTGCAAAGGCTTTTATAGTCCAACCTTATTCTGCTGCCTTAGAGGAGTTTTAAATATCTATGTATAGCTATAGCAAAAGGCCTGTGGTACAAACAACAGCACAGGTCTGTTCCCTGCTGTGCCAGTGAGCACACAGTATCAGGAAGCTATGGCAGTTTTCACCCTCCTGAACCATAGGCAAAGTACGTGGTCACAGAGGATGTGCCATTTAGCTCCCTTCAGCAGCCCAGCCAGAGGAGGAGCCATCCTCTGCCGTGCAGCTTGGGAAAAACCTTCCCCAAATTACCACCTCCGTGATCCCTTCCCCTGCCTGGGGACTCTGCCCACCTGCTGAAACACAAGATGGGCTCTAGCGTGATCTGGACCAAATGTGACAGCTGCGCTTGAATTGTCAGAGTGACAACAGGCTACCAAATGAACACAAATGGCTGCACAAGGTTGTTAGCTCATGGCTCTGCATGTAACAGCAGTGGCAACTGCAGATGCCACCACCTTCTCTCTGCACTGGTCTTGTCCCGTACAGCAAAGAGAGCATGCATCTTCTGTTAACCTCTCTGCCACAGTAGACCCAGCCCCAAATGAGAGCAGTCATGGGCCAGTACTTTTGGCATGAAGAAGACTACTGTGGTTCTACTACATGGATCTGAATAAAAAGCCCAGATCACTTCCATTATGAGGACCAGCTCTGTAAGGGCAAGACAGGGCAGAAGAACAAGGAAGGGAGTGAAGGGAAGGATATTGTTAACTCTTGCCTCCATCCATCGCTGAAGGCACTCTTGTAGCTCCCAGCAGTGAGCACAGAGGAGGAGATGCAGGTAGCATGAGAACGAGTAGCTTAATGAAAACAAACATATACAATAAAAACAGCAAAATAAATATGTTTTCAGGATCAATTCTACTAAGCAATCAGATGGCACTAAATGTACCTCCTGCACTTTAGAAAAACCTGTGTTTCTTCCAATCTGATAAGATCTTCCAGTACTAATCTCTTCATACTTTCAATGGCTTAAAAAAAAAAAAAACAAGAAAAACAGCCATTTCTGGGGGAACACTGTGCTCTTACCAAAAAAAAAAAAAAAAAAACCAAAATTGCTCTGAGAGTGAACTGAGATTAAAAGCAGATATTTTTCAGGAGGTTCAAGAATACAGGCAAACATTTCACTTAGAGACATCACCTTAAGTCCTGTTGCAAAGATCCCAAGAGAGACAGAGCAAGAGCAAGAGCAAGAAAGACCTGATTCCTCGCTTGACATGTTCTTAATGTCAAGGTCATGCAAAGGTGACAGTGCCACAAAGCTCAGCAGAGACTTCTGCCCATAACCCCAGCAGGGCTGGTTAACTGATCTATCACAGGAATGTCAGTAATGCTTTTAATATATGAGCAGAACTGTCCTCATGGGCCGACATGGCCCCATGTCATATAGGAAGGCCGTTGACTTTGTCCTTATTGCCTGAGACCTTCATTTCCACGTGGCTGAAAGCAGGGTTGTCAGTTCCTTCAGCTGCCAGGGTGAACGGTTTCCAGTTCAACACTTCCACTTTCTCTGGCTAAAAAGCAAAGACAAAAACCATGTGATGTGGAAGAAAGAGCCTTCCCCTCTTTGACCTGCATGCAAGCTGAGTCAGGCCTGACTTACATGGCTAATTAGGAAGCCTGGCAGGTAAACACACATTGCAGCCAGAGCATAAATAGTTACTCACTGCAGTAGCTGGTATTTTTCTAGGGTCATGGAAAAACTGTTATTGCATAACATACTCGTCATGTAAAATGTTCTTTTCATGTAAAATGTTCTTGTCCTGCAAACTGTGTCTAAGGCAAATTTTTTGGGTGTGCAAAGCTGTAACTGCCACATTCCTGATCAGCGATCTGTCACTGCCAGACCTCTGAGCTATTGCCTGCCAACCCCTGGTCCTACTGTCATCTTTGATAGGAAAAGCAGATTAACACACGTTGTTGCTTTGATGTTCTATCTCTGTTAAACATCATAAGAGGCTGAGCTCTTCGTGTGCAGAAAATTTCTCAGTTGCCCCTAGCTTTTACTCAACAATTGACTTTCTGCATTAGTTCTGATACCAACCACTTGCTACCCAACTCCCAGCTGTATAACCGGGAAGACACCTTTTTTCTGATTCTAGGCAGAAATTCACATGGCTGTGGGAATTAGCTTTCACATTTTTTTTTCCAAAAGACTTTTGGGATTAAATTCCCAGATGGTAAAAACAGATGTCAGTCCGTTAAAGACAGTGGAGCTATGGTGAATGACATCAGCTGAATAGCTGGTCTCCAGTGGCATGGGCAAATAGCATGCGGTATAGTAAAAAGGCCTTCCTTTCTGTTTTGTTCGTGTCCAGAAGCCGAAATACATAACATCATAATAAAAGGGGGTTGTCTTCATGGGGGAGAAACATTTTACAAACTGGATCATTTCAAAGGTATGATCATTGCCTCTACTGCAGCACTTGAAAAGCACTGAACAGAGCTGAACTTGCATGTTCAACACCCAGATAACACTGACTGAAAGGTGACCTATAGTTTATTATGAAAACCAAATTTCCCTTGCATTCTCCTTTGTAAGGGATATTGTTTCCACTCTACCTAATAATTTCTCCTCTTTTCTTTCACCTTAGGGAAGGAGCTAGGAAATAGATACACTGACTGGAAATGTTTTCCCTCAAACAGTAGCTGATGTTGCAAACCCCCTCAGAAGCTAGAGAACATTTGTTTATAAACAAAGGAGGCTTTGCTGAGTTCGAGGTGTGCCTTGGGCCAGCTTCCAAGAGACTAGTGAGGTAGGATTTTGGCAGAAACCCTGAGAACTCTTTTTTGTCTCAGTGGCTGCTTTGTTGTTTACTGAAGTCAAGCTGTGGCCAAACTTAGCTTCCTTGCCTGTGCCAGCTGCTTTTCCCTGACCCTCCTCATGCTCTGCTACTGCCTTAAAGCAGACAGTCATATCAGGCAGTATCAGATACTATTAATCCTGGTGGGGAAAATAAGCCATGGACTCTTTGTTCCCACACTTTAAATCAGAGGAGTCATAAAAT